TGTTTTTAAGCTTGATGAAAAATAGTTGGAGGTCTTTTCCAGTTTTCCCTGATTAATGATATGAAGCTTAATTTTTTTTCCTTTTACATTAGTATGAAATTCACTTTGTTGGCTTAAGTCCCAAAGGGTGTAGGAGGATAGCCAATACTGTGTCATTAAGTGTGAATATAATTGTTTCTGTTAACCTCAATTAAGATGAAAAAAATACTTTTCTTCCATAGCTCATATGTGGTTTTGTAAGAGTTACTAGGTGCTAGGCATATTGATACATATATTTGCATATTTGCCCATGGAAGGCTTTTTCTGCTTCTCCAAGAAAAACAAGAACAGTTGTGCTTGTATCTTGTTATGCCCCTATTGTGCTTAGAAAACCTTCAGATATAATAAGCTGTGCTTAAAAGAGTTGCCTGGTCTAGGCTACAGCTTTCAAGAGCATCAAAGGTCTAATAGTCAGGTAGACTACTTGATAGTGCAATAATAGTAATTGGACTGAAATGTAGAGAAAAGTATGGTGTTTTATCCAGCGCAGAGATTCTTCTACACACGCCTAGTATGAGATGTTTCATAATCAAAGGACCTGAGACAGCTGAAAGTTTCTCTGATGTGGAAGAGGAGAAAAAATAACAGAAATTTATGTTAACTCCTAGACAATACTAAATTTACCATGATTTTGAATACATAGAAAATGCTTTTGTGTGCCATGGAGCAAAATAATGAATAAATCGATAGACAAGCTCCTTCATGAAACAAATTGATATCTTTGAGCATTACATTTCAATTTTTCTTTTCATTGTTTACATGAATCATTTCATGAGGCCAAGCTAATGACATCTCTCTGAAAATTTTCTTGAGGGTTTTTTATTTACTGTCCTACAACTGTGAAATTAGATTTAAAGTTGTGCTTGAATCTTTTTTCTCTTTTCAGTTTAATTTGACAGAAAAATGCTCTGTATGGTTCTGCTAGTTCCAAATCCAAAATTCATTTTCTGTGTTTGCTATTTGTTTGCTGTCTGGATCTTACAGAGCCATTTAGTTTGGGACTGCAGGTCCCACAGCAACAGGGAATAATAGTGAAGAGTAATAACATTCCAATTAGATTTTTGTTCCAATAATTCAGTGTTGAAAATATGCTCCACTGAAATCCAACAGCTTTCAAATGAATGTGATTTTAACAATTAATTTCAAAACTGGAATTTTATTTCTAGGTTGTTACTATGCAAAGTAGTGTACATATTATCCAAATAATAGCAGAAACTGTGGAAAATTAATATTTTGGTACAACCAAGACTATCATCAGGCTAGTGTGCTTACTCTTCTCAGATTATTGAAGTAATCAACGCTTCAGTCAGTCACTTGAACTCTAGTGTTAAACCTTGTCATCTGTTTTTGCAGACCTCTTCTTCATCCTCTTGTGTAGCTACTTGCACCTTTTTTATTGATTTCTTAGGATAAAGAATATTTGCCAGAGCAAAAGAGCTCCTCTTTGTCATGTTCAGCAGATATTTCTGTGAGCTTAATTTATCAGGTTTTAAATGTCTGTAGAAGGAAAAGAAGGTACGCTTCTTGGGATAATCAGTTTCACATGGAAAAGTAGTTGTGCAAGGTCAGAGTCTCATTGCAAAAGGGATGTTGTCGATTTTCTTGATGAAGCATTATGTTTGCTATGTAATATGAATTCATGCACAGCTGCAGAGGTCTTAAGAGGCAGTCCTATCTCCCTGTTTGAACAGAGGACCGGAGCACGATCAGAAGACTTTGAGTTCTAATGGTGCTCAGAGACTTAATATGTGACTTCAGTGTCTCACAGATCTCTACACTTACTCATGCTGCCATAAAACTTGGTGCCTTTCTGCTTCACCTAAAATTTGTCGTGTCAATATTATTAGGGGTTGTTCTTCTACGTATTGAAGACAAAATGAACTGAAGAATAATTAAGAACAGAATTTGTAGCCTAAATAGGAACTAACTAATGTGCCTGTGGTGCTTGTATTTCAGATTCAGTGCAAGACTGTCCACGTAATTGTCATGGGAATGGCGAGTGTGTATCCGGTGTGTGCCATTGTTTTCCAGGATTTCATGGAGCAGATTGTGCTAAAGGTATCATTTTCTCTATGTTTACAAATAGCCACAGTGTGTGTTTGTGATGTATGGATCTACAGTGCCTGCTAGTTAGCATGGCTCCAAGCTAGATTCAAATAGATCAATATGCATTTTTTTTTCTTACATCTTGCAGTTAAATATGATCAGGTGGAACTATTTCTAAATTGCTGATGAGCTTGCATAACTACAATTTTTTTGTATCCAAGGTAGTAGGCAGAAATGGCAGAAAAGATTTATTTTCTGTGAAAGTGGATGAATTATCATCAATGCTTTCTGATAATCATTAATTGGTCTGCAACACAAGAGTGATTACCATCATCAGTAGCATGCAATGTACAGTCTGGCTTGGCTGAGCCTTGCTTCTAGTTCATAGCATCTTTCTTGCTTATACAATTACTCCTTGACCAAAGGAAGTTCACCTTTTTTAGGAAAATAAGTAGGACTTGATAAAGTCTTAAAATAAACCTTTTCTTAAGTGTTGATGGTAAATTTTAACAACTAAAACTGGAACATGCATGATTATCAAGGACTAAACAGGAATCTAAAAGGCAAATATGGATTGGCAGTACATGTTTACTGAGTTTTTCTAAGAGTTTGGGATAGCTGTCATAGGGAAAAGATTCATAAAGGAGGGCCTCTAGTTTATAAAGCTAGTAGCACATATGTTGTCTGAATCGATGACTTGGTTGTATTCCCTACTGCTCCTGAGCATAGTCATAATGTTTTACAGTTTGCTTCCTTCTTAGTTTGTTAGATTTAGGCACGCTATCAATATCATGAGCGTACCATTGTTTTCCACAGGGATAGGATTGTTAGCATTCAAAGGGGGAAAGCCTGGTGCTTGAAAGCTTTTTGAAATGCCTTGAAGGGCCTTAGAAATGTGCTCATTTCTTCTTAGACTCCTGATCCAGTCCTAAGGATGGTTTGTTGTGCCCCACCTCTTTCACTGGTATAGCAGGGCGGCATCCAGCATACCTGTGTCTGTCTATGAAATACTCCTTGAATAGCTGTTACAGCCATACTGGAGAGAGTCATTTCCATTTTGTGTCTCTATATTTGGCTCTTGGAGGTGCCTCAGTTAAAAAAAAAAAAAAAAAAAAAAAAAGACCTCAAGGGCCTTGGAAAGCTAATGATGTTATTTCAGTGCTCATTCAGTACTTATTTTAAAGAATGCTTCAAATACAGCATGCATGTTGTTTGATTACCTGAGAAATTAAGACACTTGGCAAATACATAGAGGAGATATCTGAATATTACAAAGTAAATGGTGTGATAATGTGTGCTATAAATACACATTGACAGCTATATGCATTTTCGTGGTGTTAACCTGTGAAAGTGTGCATGCAGTGACTGTGTGCTTCACTGCCACTCTTCACACATACATGGCCATTAAATCACCTCGTTTGCATTTTGAGTTGTGGAGCAATGTCTGCATTGTGTACTGAACCTCTGTGTAACACCGTGTTCTATGTTAATGCTAGAAAATACTTCATTCAGGCTACGTCAGATAAATAGCTTTTTTATAGGGTTCTTGTCAAACTGTATCTGTCAGGCTTCTCCTACCCCTCAGTACGTTCCCTCTGCTTCCTGCTTTGTCCTTTCTGTCTTGTCTCTTTCCCCTCAAAAGCAGAAGTGGGTTCTTGGAAGCTTCTTTCAACTCTTTTACTATTTTCTTGTCAGACTTCATGGTATTTCTAAAGAACAAAGAAGCTTGAAAGACTACATAAAATGAAAAAATGGGTGTGTTGACAGAATTCTCATGTTTCCGTGCAAGCACATAGCTGCACATCTTTATACTATGAGACATACCCAGAAGCGTGTGGCTCAGTTAGGGCGTAAGGGCTCTCTGCCTCACCCGTTTCACGGGCACTGTCATGCCTGTTCTCATGTCCACAGATTTTTCTGCTTACCTGAACGCTGATTATATGTGAGAGCAGTTTCAGAAGACATAAATCAAAATTGGGATTGTATGCATGGGTAAAACACAGTACAATGAGACAGTGAATTAAATCTTTTCCAGTATATTATATGTATGGACACATGTTTAATATACATTTACCATAATATTAAATTTATGTTTGAGCTGTCACAAGTATGGAAGGATAATGATTTTCTTCCCATCTGATTTTTTTTTATTATTATTTCCCTAGCAACACATCTTTCAATGTCTCCGTTCTCCACTGTAAAATAATTTGAGGCAAGACTCAGATGGAAAAATGTGGAGAAAATGTGCACAAGCTCCTCAGATGGCTTTTAGAACTAGATTCATGCAGTAACACAGCTCCACATTGGGTGAAACCCAGGTTTGATAGATACGAAGCATGATCCTTTATAGCAGTGAATCCTTGGTTACAGGGCTGATCTTGAGGGCATCAGAGGCAATGAATCTTGAGTCATCTGCAAACTATTTGCAGACATCACACAGGTACTCCCTCTGTTACTTTACTCCATCTATGTAGTTCTAAAAGATAAAAAATTAAGGAAGTCTATGAAAGAGCACAGATTTTACTTCAGATCCATTAGCTCCAGGAAAATACCTTGAAAATTATTAGAGAGAGATGAACTTTTGGCCCAACCCACAGGCTGAAATACACCTTCATACCCTGATTGAAGTGGAGGAAATGTCACACACTCAAACGCTCTTGCCAAATACTGGGGCGGGTGTTATTTCTCACCCTTATCCGTGGAAAGAACTTATTCTCAGGTAGCTAGTATCAACAGATTAACTCCATCCTTGCTCAGGCAGATTCCCTTTGAAATCATTTGGAGTTTAACCTAATTAAGAATTCCATCAAACATACAAAAAAGTTAATGATGCATTTTAATCTCATGTGGATAAAATATGGCATATAAATAAAAAGAAAGCCTGATAATCAAGATAATTCAGTGGGTGGAGATGTATCCTGATCAGGGAAATGTGTATAGTTAAAGCCAGTGGAAGATCTGCTGTAAATGGAACTGCACTATCAGTAGCCTTCTGTCCACAATTACCTCTAGGAGTTATTGATAAGAAGTGATGCTATGGGCAAGGATCGATTAAAGAATCAGACATGCAGCTATGATTATGTTATTTTGGTGTGTTGTCACTTTTTTATATTCATCTCTATTTTTCTGTAACCTCTATGACATAATCACCCAAGTATATCAAGATGTCCTTCTTTCTTAGTGTTCCCACTGTTAATGTCTAAAAATAGTTTGGTCTTTCAGCTGCCAAGTTCTGTGGTAGATCTGCAAGCAGGCATCCTTCGTTGTGTCCTGCTTTTCACCATTTGTAGAGTTCAGTGTTACAATGAGTTGGGTTCCTAGAAGCAGCTCAGAGTTGTCTATAATTTCCTTTCATCTCATAATACATTTGAAGGACATGCAACTTTTCCACTCCTTTAACAAAATGCTTCCAAAGACACTGTCATATACTGTTTTGCAAATGTGCTCAGAGCCTCCTTTGATTCTACTTTTTAAAATACTAGGATTTGCATCATAAGCGTATTTAGCTAATCCAAAAAGGTGAAACAAAGTACCATCACATGGGATTTCTGCATTGACATGATGAGCATAGCCCGTTAAGAGATGGTGTCTGATTTGTAAAAGAAGGAAAAAAATTAAGTAGCTCATGTCAGCTGCCATGAAGTTGCCATTTAGCAGATACTTTCAGTTGATTATGCAATGTAATAAGAATCATGTTTAATATTTTTATCTAAATGGATTGAAGGCTTTTGGATTTTTTAAACCAGAAATTTGTACCATGTTTGATCAGTTGACTTTTTAATCTGATTTTAAGAACTCTAATGATTCAGATTTATGTTATTAGCAGTTTCTTTTCCTGTTCTCCTTGTGTGGGTTTTTCATTATTTTATTTTCATTCTGTTTGTTTTTGGCTTACTGGCAAAGGACGGCGCCACTTTAATAAGTATAAAAAGAAGGGTAGGTTTTTTAAAATTTCTTTTTATTTCTTTTGCAACATCTATTTAGTTTGAAATAGTTACTAAGCTGTAAAGTGTAGTCTGTGTCTTTTTCAATTTATTCTAATGGATTTGCTGTTTCTGATGATTGCCCGCACCACAATAAGAGTTCCTACCACTGCCATTTTCTTTGTTATGTGTGCACTGTTAATCTCTGTATAAAAATGTAAAAAGCTGTCAATTATTAGGTAAGTAAGGTATAATTGCTAGAAGTAGCAACTCTTGCTTTTACTCAGTTGTTATTCAAATTTCAGTGGTTTGGGACTCTTCTTGCTCTGAGCTTATTCAGAGGCTTATTGCTTGGGCAATAGTGCATAAAGTAATGGTTTTTTCACCCACTGAATACTCTGCTTGAAACTGTTCTCTTAGTCCCATGTCCAGAATGCTCCCAGTGGCATAAAGGGTTCTGGGAGTGATTGTAGTGGGGGAAACATTAATTTTGGGTTGCATCTTGCTGAACAATTCAGTACTCAGTTCACTGCTGTAGAGCATGTGTGGCCCACATGAATGAAAGGTGTCCGGCATATGCTTGTAATGTATCGGAGTTAGTCTTTCCTCTCTGTGTGACTAAGGAAAACAATATTTGCCTTCATAACTTGGCTAGAAATTTAAGTACTGAAACTAGTGCAAGCAGACAGAAGCTCCCTGGACTTGAAGGGAAAGGTAAGAGGTGATTCCAAACAGCCTTTTTCTTTTACCTGTCCTGCACATGTTCGTAGCCTGACAGAAGAGATGGGACCAGTGGTGAGGCAGCACTTCGGGGCTTCCATGGCACAGTCAAACTGGTGAATGTGTGTCTTGTACTATTCAAGTGACTCAATGCAAATTTATGCAATAACAGATTATAGATCAAACTGAAGTAGGTTGGATTAAACACAGCAGTGCCCAAAGCAGATCAGTGGGGCAAAGAGTAGGAGAGGAGCAATGGTATATGAAAAACATCATTTTTATGGCATTATAAAGAAATTGTCATGAGCAATAGTACTTGTTAAAGCTAATCTACTGTGGTTAGTGCTTATCAAGCAGAACAAATAAATA